TAAGCTCCGGCCTTTCAGATTTGGCCTTCTCTTTTTGATATCCAGCCCAATGCTGTAGAAAAACCCTCACACCTAGGAATCAGGAAACCTCTGGGTCTACTAGTCACAAGTTGTATGACTTGAACAATCGTCTAAGATCTCTCTGAGCCCTTTAAATGAAGTGACTTCATCTGAAATTTGGCAACAGTAACTTCCATCTCATCAGGTTGTAGCAAGTGCCAAGCCAAACAATGACAGTAAAGATGCTCTGGAAAGCTGCAAAGTGCTTTCCAAGTGTCAATTACTATTTTTATTTGACTATTCGAATTAAGGAGAAAGGAAGGGCCCTGGGAGATTTTAGTTCCCCTCTGCTCCATTTTATGTTTGAGAAAACTGAAGTGTCAGTGACTTTCCCAAGAATAAAAAGGAGTACTTGAGTTATGGATATTACTTTATACAGGGATAATGACAAAAACAAAACTTGAGTAAGAACCAGGGACTAGGATCCCAGCCTCGAGCTCCTCCGGCATCGCTTTTCTCATCATTTGAAAATTGCTCAATTCCTTCCTTTGTGTACCCCAGATTGCACTTGCCCAGCCAAGGCAACAGAGAGATGGGGCAGTAAAGTGGCCAAGAGACTTTGAACAAGACACACCTAAGCTCAGATCTGACCCTGTGGTCATCAATGGGTCTCCTTTTTCTCATTTTCTCCTAATTGCTTCTGAAACTATTACGACCAATCACAGACACGCACACGCGCACACACACCTGCTTTTATAGGTCAAAAATGGCAGCTCTCACCATTTCACAGGATTCAACATAATCAAATATAGTACTGCATAGCAGGTACCTTTATTTCTCTCCATCGTTGAGCCACCTTCATGCATCTCATCCACTTTTCCCTTAAGGGAAACATTTCCCATGAGTTCCCTCAGTCTTCATACAAAGAGGCCCCTGCTGGCAGCCCTAGACATGCTTAGACACAGCAATGTGGTCAGGCCCAGGCCCTCCGGCTGAGCACTTTCTATGCTCCCTTTATGTTATTTCATCCACACACAACCCTGTGAGGAAGGCAGAGCAGGGGCAGTCTGTGCAGTGAAAAGGACTAGCAAGACAGGTGACCAGGACTCTGCCACTGTCTTGCTGTGTGGCCTGGGGCAACATCATCTCCCTCTCTGGCCCCCAGAGTCCTGACCCATAAATAAGGACATTGGATGAGATCAGCAGCTCCCGTTTCTCACTCTGCAGCAAAATCACTCACTGGAAGGCTTTTGGCAAATTCAGATACCCAGGCCCCCTCCAGAGATGCATTTTTAATAGGTCTGGGGATCTTTTAATCCCTCCCCAGGTGATTCTAGTGTGTAGCCACCTTGAAAACCACTTGGCTGGATAATCCAAAGGCCCCCTGATTCTAAAATGCATTGAAGAGTCTGGTGTGAATCCTTGTGAGATTTCAAGGCTGAGAAAGACAAAGAGGTGGGAGCTCCTAGAAATGGGTCTGAGGCCTCATTAGGCCTTGTTAGGGAGCAGGTCTGAAGAGCCCCAGTTTCCAGCCCCCTGCTGTTAGAAGGATGCTGGGGCTCTATCAGGGCCCAGCTGGAAAGGCCATTTCTTTTGGAGAAAGATTTCCTCTAGGTGCCTCTCAGAAGCCCCCTTCACTGATCCAGGGAACTAAAGCTTTTCATTTTAATTAGTAAATTCTTGTCACTGCCTTTGGAACAGAGCCTCTGTTTTCATTTTCTTTACAGACTCTCCTCAGCCGAGATGGTGAGGAGGGCCTGGAAAGGTGACATGGGAGCTGTTATCTGGAATAATTTGTGAGCTGGTGGGGGGCTTGGAGAACATGAGAGTGGCTGAGATTACAAGGAACCAAATCATACACTTAAGGAAATGGCTTCATGGCTTTGGGACACGGTGACTCCAGTTAGTGCCTCTTTGCAGAATTGCACGCACTTGTGTGATGAGGAAGACGAGGTGTTATTAGGCTTACCTGGGCTCCAGGGGCCCAGTGAATAGATGTGTCACATCTTGGACTAAGAGAACCTTCGTAGGAGGAAAAAGCACACTTTTAACAAAATACCTGTAGATGAAGAGAAATGGAAGATGGTATTTGTCTAATGCATAATTTATAAGTCTGTGAACTCTCAGAGCTGGGAGGAGTGCTCTCGTTGGTCATCTCATTAGTACCTGATGCACTGGAGAGAAACAGCCTTCCTGGGGTGTCTTAGGCCACAGGAAGCCCTTGTCTCAGGTATTCAGCAGGAGTGAGAGGCTGTCCGTGTGACTTCCTTTCCCAAGTTATATCTTGTTTTGACACAAAATATAAACAGCACACTTTCTGGAATCATCCTTAACATCTATTTTATGACTTTTCCTAGTTTTTTGATTTTTCCAAAATGGAGAGAAATCTTTACCTTAATGAGGGTTATAAAAAAGTAAGGACAGGCTGGGCATGATAGTTCATGCCTATAATCCCAGCACATGGGGAGGCCAAGGTGGGAGGATCACTTGGGCCAAGGTGGGAGGATCACTTGGGCCCAGGAGTTTGAGATCAGCCTGGGCAACATAGCAAGACCCCATACAAAAATTTTCCAGGTGTGAGGTACACATCTGTATTCTTAGCTACTCAGCAGGCTGGAGTAGGAGGATCCCTTGAATCCAGGAGTTCGAGGCTGCAGTGAGCTGTAACTGCACTACTACATTCTAGCCTGGGTGACAGAGTAAGACCCTGTTTCAAAAACAAAACAAAAATGGCAAGAACAATTAGAAACATTCTTGTAGTAAAAGGATCACAGGGAAAGATTATCTGCAAATGTCTTAGAGTTCATCTAATCAAGGCTCTCAGAGGGAAAGCAAGATGGGGAAGCTATAGGCCAGGGTCAAAAGTATAGCTCACAAACCCAACAGGATGTGGTCTCCCTTCTCACAGTCCTTTCCCTGCTGTACCCTCCAAACCCTGTGATCCAGCCACACTGAGCTATTTATACCCACCTTCCCCATCACATGTATCATCCTGTGTCTAAACCTCATAGCCACCAGGCGCCTCTGCCAGAATACTTGCTGGTTCCAGGTCCTTCCCACTCCCCTCCTTCTTTCTTTAGGTACTGAGGCACCTGGCTAAGTAGGACAGTGTTTCAAGATTCAGCCCACTCTTCCAGTAACTACTGAATACCATATATGGTAAACAAAACTGTCATGGATGGTCCTGTCTTCAAGGTGTGAAGGAGGCAGCTATACAATAAAATGATTGCACAATTGCATGTATAATCGTTCCAGAAATAAGTGCTTGGAAGGAGAGATCTATGGGGCTAGAAAAGTGTATGAGGAGAATTTGGTCTGGTGAAACAGGTCTAGGAAGGCTTTCGAGAGGAAGGGATAATTGAGCTGGGATCCCCAGTAGCTGAAAGAAGTCAAGAATGGATGGGGAGGGCCCATTTGGAAGTCCAAAGAGACCTCCTCCAAGAAGTCTTCTGCTATTTCCTGTGTTAGACATTACTTCAGGTGATCATATGTCCTGGTTTGCCTAAGACAGCCCCAGATTATGCTTACTGTTCAGGGATTGTCCCAAAGATGTACCAATTTGGATAAATTGTATGATCACTCTATGAGTGATGCTCTTATCACACTGCGTCATTGTATTCATACAGCTGTCTAGCTACCGCACAAAGGCATGTGTGTACAAACACATGCACACACATACCCATATGCACTCCTATCCACACAGGGACGCACAGCATTCTTACAGCACCAAATTCCATTCTTATTGATCTCTTGCTGCCCTGCACATAACACGGTGCTGGCATACATGTAAAGAAGCTGTTTGGTGAATGCTTTTTGAATACGTAAATAAAGGATGTGCGATACAGCCTCCAAAGATGCTTTGACTTCCCAAGCCCTCCATCTCACCTATTTTTCATGCCTCCACAATGCTCCAAAGCATATTTGATGCATATTTTGAGTTTGTCCAAGAGCCAAAAGATCTCAAATATGTTTTTTCCACAGCCTGACTTGGCCCTATAAGTTGACAAAAGTGTCATTTCATTAGAGGCTATTTGAATAGAAATTATAGGCTTGTTCTCTGAGTGTGGATGTGAGAGCACTTCATAAGACAATTACTGCTAAATATCTGAAAAGAAACACCCTTGTTGGCTTCTAAAAGCCCATTTCAGGTCAAACTAACCTAAATTCTTCTCAATACAATTAGAACTTCAGTAAGAATGAGAAAAACAACAAGATTTCAAGAACACCAGGACCTCAGACGAATGATAAATAGCACTACTGGAGGGCTGAGAGGGGACATTGGAGGGTAGAACATTCTGGAAGGCATCATGTAGCAGGCGGTACACAAACCCACCCACGCTTTGATCAGGAGTGATCTGCAAGCCTCCCTACAAGAGAACAAAGGAGTCGACCCCCATCAGCTGGTCTCCCCAGAAATTACACTCCCACTTTTCTGCCCTTTCTGGCTCCACTGTTGGTGGAACTTTCCAAAGATTTAAGAAATAACTTTTAATTTGCTTCATGGAAAAAAAAAAACGTGGCCAGAAGATGATGATGCTGGAGGCTCACCTGTACCACCAGCACGTGTTAAGCACACCTGCTCATTGGAATACTCAGGAAAAGCAATGTACCTTGTGTTGGGGAGAATTTCCTTATAACAATTGCCTTTCTATAGTGTATATCTCTAAGTGACCTCAGTAGGGGATTGGGGAAGGAGGGTCATGGGAAGACAGACTCACCTTTTTTCCAGGTGACAGGTGTCAGCCAGTCTATGCCCCTTGCTGCCCAGAGTTCACAAGAAGGATGTTATGGCCACTGCCTTAGAGGGCACCTATTCTGCATATCAGGTGAGTGAGTCCTAACACTGGTAGAGAGCTGAGTAGACCATCTATGAATGGACTGGAATTCCAAAGGGAGAGAAGGAATGTGGATGGAACTGGAGCACTGGAATGGAAGGTACGGAAGGGGTGATGGAACAATGCAACTTTATTCTAACTCCCTTGTTGCCTTAGACCCTAAAAGGGGCTCCCTCATACCTCTACCCAAGCATACCTCTACCACAGACACCAACAGAGCAATGGAGGATTCCAGAGAGCACGATTCAAAGACAGTTAACCAGAGTCCTCCCTGGGGGCCCCTCCAGCTCTGACATTCTGTGAGTTTAACATGGAAAAACATTTAGCTAAAATCATTGGCACGGTAAGGCAGTGGCTTAGCAATTCCTTTTTATGAAATTACCGTCTCTCTAAAGAGCAAAATATCTACTTAGGACTTGGATTCATTCTTAATATGAGCTGATGTTTGGGCTTTCACTCAAAACAGTATAACCAGTTCCTCAAAAACAGTCTATCTCCCCCCATCCTCACCCTAGTGAGTGGAGAATAATGAGAATGTGAGAAGATACTCTGGACTCTTGCTAACTCCTATTCCCTATCCCCACCTTGTTCAAGATGGCAGGGCCTTGTTGCCTGGGAATGGACCTATGAGGACTAAGATTAATGTTGGGCCACAAGAAACATCACCCAAGGTGTCCCATATTCAAGGCCTCTCTGTGGCAATTCCAGTCAATATAATTATTCTCAGGAAACTGACCTGGATGGTCTAGTGACCTTCACTATGTTTTGTGACCAGAGACTGACCCCTGACCTCAGACCCAGACTAACTACTAACCAGCTCAGATTCCTGCCCCAAAATGACCCCCAAATCTGATGAAAGATTGACCCCTCTTCCTCTCCAGCACCTTCACACATCACCATATGAATCACAGTAAAGTAAGACAATGATGTCTGGTTCAGCTCTATTTCCCAGATGCCAGAGCAGGAACTGGCTCCTGATAGGTGCTAGGTACATGCTAATTGAATATACAAAGGAAAAGATTAAGTGAATGAATAAGTCAACAGGTTCAAATTGTAAATGGCTAAGTCTGGTCTTCTAATAGGTCGGTTTTTCAGAGACATGGGGCCAAGGAGATGGGTCTGTTTGCAAGGTGTCCATCTCTCATGTCCACTCCAGCAACTCCAAGCTCTCCTCCATGCATCTTGTTAATATTCCTGTCACTGGGCTTCACTGTACAGAGGCCAGCACCTCCTGAGCTAAATAACAGGCAATTTAAGATAAATGAGGTGAGAAATGCTCTCGTTGTCTGAGTCCATTGAGGCCCACAGCTGAGTTTGTCACACCTCTGGCATATACCAGGGAGGGTCCTCAGAAGTTCCCAAATATGCGGTGGTATTATAGCAAGATGGGGAAACAGAAGGCATCCTGGTCTGGGAAGAAGACCAGAGTTCTGCTCCAATAGTGTTGTCATTGTCCCATCAGGAAAAGGAGATGACCTGTACACTGCACTCCCAGCTTTGTGTCATAATGATCCATGATATTTACAAAAATACAGATTCATGGATCCCACCTCAGAGCCACTGAATCCGAACCACAGGATACAGGACCCAGAAACTGGATTTTAACATGTACTCAATAAGCAATTACAGCCAATATAATTATTTTCAGGTCCTAAGCTCTAATTCAGGGTTTAGCAAACTGTGGTCGGAGAGCCACACCCAGCGTGCCACTTATTTTTATAAATAATAATGTACTGGAACACAGCCATATCTACTCATTTACATGTTGTCTGCGGCAGAGTTGATGTATCACAACAGAGACCCTATGGCTTGAAAAACCTAAAATATTTACTATCTGGCTTTTAAAGAAAAAGGCAGCGAACTTGTGAGTGGCAAGTGTGCAAGCCACCAACCCTTGCCTCATCTTTTCAGGAGGGAAGAGCACTTTATTCCTGATCACTGTGTGAGAGGAAAGCAAGAGAGCTCCAGCCTGCAGGAGCCCTGGACTCACCCTATTCAGAGAGTGCCTTGGAAATATAAATGGCACTGCCAGGTGGGGATGGTGGGCATCTGCAAGGGGAACACCCCAGAATGAGGTGAGATTGGGGCCCAACTGAGAACCAAGCTCCTGTTCTCAACCCTACTCTTGGTGAGGTAGATGCCAAGGGCATACACAACAATGAGTTCTGCTCCTTGTTTTTTAAATGTTCATGCCACTGCCCCGCTGTTAAAGGCTTACCTGATGATCTAAAAAATGATATGGGAGGGAAATGAGGGAAGTAGGTGGAAGGGCAGCTCTTCAAAGCTCCAAACGCTTCAAAACACAAGCATAAGCACATAGAATAATTCAACTTGTGACATCGCTGAGACCCACAGGGTGTCTGAGAGGGAAAGAGACCACCCAGACCAGCTGTGGCTGCAGCTATCTGCCTTATCAGCCACACTCTGGGGCCTGGGAAAAGAGGTCTCATGTGAGTCTGCCATCTGCCCTGTGCTCAGAAGCAGGCAAGGCCCAGCAGAGTGCATTCAGAGCACAGAGGTCCTCAGGGCTTTGGGTCCCAGAGTGCCTGGCTGAATATACATGAGCCCTGGGGTGCTCCCATTGCCAGGCCTGATCTCTCTGTGCCAAGTCTGGCTTCCACATGTCCTTTCGTGCCCACCAGGGTGTGCCACCCCAGATGTCTGGAAGCAAACTACAGTCAGCACCAGGAGTCTAAGCAGATTTGCGTTACTTAGAAATGATTTGAAACCCACACAAACACATCAATCAGTATAATCTGTTCAGCTGGCAAATAGAGCCAGGCCTCGAGGAAATTCCAGATCAAACAGGTTCATCAGGAGCTAAACAATCTGGGAGTTTTGTCTGGAAATTGCTTGTGCCAGGAAGTTCGGAAAATGTGGACGCTCAAAAACAGAAGACACAAGGTCACTTAGACTTGAAAACAGCTCCCCGCGATGCTGCACTACTCCCGGGGATAACTGTGACTTCAGTCTGATGTGAGTATGAAGAGACAGGTTTTAATTTTATTTGGATATATGCACCAATGATAGATGTGGATGGTAATTTAGAATATGATCTCAGTATTTAGGGTAACTTCATCTCTTGCCTGTCTCTCTCTTCTACTCCCCAAAATCAGAAGTAGTTTTACCACTGGTCCCCATGGGGATCTGATGACCACTCTGACTGCTGGTCTCAGCCTGTTGGTTACCCCTCAATTCACTCTCACTGGGGGACGTGCCTAGGTTTTGCAGTTGCCATCTCAGTAATCCTCTGAAGGAAACTAAGGCAATGGTTAACTAAAGACTAGACCCCTCAAAGCAAAACAGGAGCAAATTTTCACAATTCTTTCCCTCCTTGCCTCACTTCCCCATTTTTCTTTGGAGCTTCCTGGAGTCACCATGCAAATAAGCTATTGTACCCAGTTCCTTGTCTCAGAGCCCACTCCTGCAGAAACCCAACTAAGACAGTGGGAATGCATGCTCCTCTCTACCCTTGTCTCTCATACAGATCTCCAGAGTGAATCCACTGACACCACCTGCTGTTTTTAGGGCTTTGAGGAAGAATCCAGGCGATGATCACTTTTGATCCTCTGGCCAGAGTGAGTGACAAGCAAGGACCCAAACCGTGGGCCCAAGCCAGGCTGCTGGTCTCCATGGCATTGCTGAAATAGGATCACTGCATTTCAGCTTCTTGTAAATAATCTCCAAGCCATTTCTGGATAATACATTTACAGCAGCTACATGAGCTATCTTTCCCCCATTTGGTTCTCACTGGGTGGCATTGATGCGGGCTTTTCTCTGCCCACTTGAGCCAATGTTTCTCAACAGGGAGTGCTATTTTCATAAATTTGTGTTTTTGGATCACCCACAGCTCCTGATCCTGCTTTTGACATGTCAGTAATAGCCAGTGGGTCCCTTTCAGGGGCACAGTGACTCAATCAGGGGCACAGCAGCCTCAGCTGCTACCCTCTAGGCTACCGAGTAAGCCTCTGGCTTCACTCCTCACTCTCCTCCATGACTCAGGACCTCTTCTCCTGTTCTGGTCAGTATCCTAATGGCTGCACCTAAAAGTTTCCTTGTAGAGTTAAAGCTTTGCTTCGACTCACACCTAAAAACAGACATATTCCTTCACAAGGAACATTCACTGAGCCGCTATATGTCAGGCACTCTATTAAGTATTAGGGATACAGGAAAAAGTTTGATGAGGCCAATACACAGTCCAGTGCGGGAGACAACCCAACCCACAGCATGCAGGGCTCAGTACTCAGTGGAACAGAGTGGCTGAGAGCAGAGACTCAGAGCTAGACTTCTTGAGTTCAAAACCAGGCTCTGCCCCTTACAAGCTTTGTGACCTTGGGCAAGTTACTTAATATTTCTGGTCCTCAGTTCTTAAATCTGAAAATGTGGGTATCTGTGTAAAGACCTTAAAATAGTACCTGAGCAAAAGTATGCATTTGTAAATGCTACCAATCCTTTGGAAGAGATCAAGCACCTCGGACAAGCAGAAGGAACTCAGAAATTAGCTCTGTTTATAGGCAGGAAACTGCATCCTAGGAGTCCACGAAAGGGGAGATTTCCCTCCCATTCACAGGGCAATTGCTAAGTCCAGCATGAAAAGGAACATCACCGAGATCCCTAAATTGGTATCGAGAAGAAGCCAAATATCCAAGCTGTATATGCAAGTGTCCCTGGAGTTCTCCAAAATATTTGTGGAAGAGCCTGGGAAAAATCAGAATGTCTGCTAGGTATGCTGACAGTAATGAGTGAGGCCCACTGTCTGCAGGATGGTGGGACAGGAGGGAGCACTATATGGGGAGCATCAACCTGAACTCTGCTCTTCCCTCACTTGACTTGCAGAGGGATGTTGATCTCAGCACCTCTTGAAGCCATCTTTTTTCCTTTCTGTATGGTGAGATCAGCCACTTTACCTCCAAGTGTCCCTTGAGCTCTGAAAGCCCAAGTGGCAAGTCTCAGAACTCAATGGGCTGGGAGTGCTTGTGAAAACTGTGGATTTCTGTACCACAGCCCCCCAACCTGCTCACTGCATGGTGGTGCCTAGCAATCTGCATTTTCAGCAAGCTCCCCAAGAGATTCAGTACACACTTTGAGAGCTGCTGCCCTGGGGAATGGGGGAATTTGGTTATTTTTGTTTCTTGTGGTTGCAGTTAGGCCCTGGGGACTTTCTTTAAAAGCTGCATTTTACAGTAGTAGTTCCAGATTCCCTTTATGGAATCTATTCCTGCAACTTGCCTTCAGCCTAGCAGACATTATTAAGGTGTTCACAGAAGGTTTTTATGATTTTAATTAGAAACAGGCAGTGGAGCCCATGTAATACTTTCCTTTTGACTTCGCAGTCCAAAATGATATTCCCGTAAGAGGAGGCCAAGAGACGTGGGAAGGGCCTTCTGGAAGAGTAAAGAGCCATGGTTTGCTGAGCAGCTACTACGTGCCAGCAGCTTCAATGTGCATTGTCACATATATACCCTGCCAGTGGATGTCACTGTCTCACGTTTGATTCAAAGGAGTTAAGGGTCCAATTCAAAGCCACAGAGCTAGTGGCTATTCCAGTTATATTTTACTATGTAACAAACTCGGCTAAAACTTAGTGGCACCAGCCAGGCTTGATAGCTCACACCTGTAATCCCAGCACTCTGGGAGGCTGAGGCGGGTAGATCACCTGAGGTCAGGAATTCGAGACCAGCTGACCAACATGTCAACCCTGTCTCTACTAAATACAAAACATTAGCCGAGCGTGGTGGCAGGCACCTGTAATCCCAGTTACCTGGGAGACTGAGGCAGGAGAATCACTTGAACCCGGGAGGCAGAGGTTGCAGTGAGCCGAGCACTCCAGCCTGGGCAAAAAGAGCCAAAGTTCATCTAAAAAAAACAAAACAAAAAACTGGCCAGGCAGGGTGGCTCACACCTGTAATCCCAGCACTTTGGGAGGTCAAGGCAGGTAGATCATGAGATCAACAGATCGAGACAATCCAGGCCAACATAGTGAAACCCCATCTCTACTAAAAATACAAAAAGTTAGCTGGGCATGACGGCACGCACCTATAGTGCCAGCTACTCGGGAGGCTGAGGTAGGAGGATCGCTTGAACCTGGGAGGCGGAGGTTGCGGTGAGCCGAGATCGCGCCACTGAACTACAGCCTGGTGACAGAGCAAGACTCTAGCTCAAAAAAAATAAATAAAATAAAACTTAGTGGCATTTTATTAAGCTCAAATTTTGAGCTTGCCTGAGTCAGCAACTAAGATGGGTCAGATGGAAGATGACTTGTCATACACCTTCATGCCTGAGGTTTTAGCTGGAAAGACTGGACGGCCAGGAGGACTTAATGGCTAGGGGCTGGAATTATCTGGAGGCATCTCACATGTCTGTAGGTTGATGCTGGCTGTCAGCAGAGAACACAATGGGGACAGTGGGTCAAAACACCTATATGTGGACTCTCTATGGGTCCTGAGCTCCAATGACATGGCGGCCTTAGCATTCTTATATGGTGGCTCAGAACACAAAAATGTGAGTGTCTGAAAAGAACCAAGAGGAAGCTTTATCACCTTTTATGAGCATGTGGCTTTGGAAGCCACATGGCATCACTTCCATCCTACCCTGTTGGTCAGCTGGTCACTAAGGACAACCCAGATTCAAAGAGAGGAACCACAGAGCCCCCCTCTCACTGGGAGGAGCACCCGAGAGGAGCCACATGTTTTAAAACATACACAACAGAGCCAGCTTCCAAGCCTACATCTGGGACCCTTCCCCATACTCAGGAAGAATTGACTTTCCCATACAAAAAACATCATACATGAGTTTTATGGTGAACTCTGCTGGCCAGGGATTCATCCTTGGCCTTTTCTGAACCTCCTACAGAGCCTGACCAGCCTCTGAGCTGCTCCTTGCAGAGAGGAGCTGGCAATCAATTAAAACTCTGAAATTCAACCTGTGAAACCCAGTGAGTGACCGAGAGAGCCCAACTCCTGTTGTTTTCCTCTCCATTGCCAAGTCAGGAGAATCTTGAAATCTTCATCCCCACACCCTTCACACTTCAAACCCACTGCATATTTTCCAGAGCAGAGCCTGGGCTACCAGATGTCCACACTGGGAGACCAAGACTAGGAAGATGATACTGGGTATCAGGAAGAGTATCAAATACAGAGTCAGCAAATAAAATATGGAGTCCCACCTCCTTCAGTATGAAAAGGTAATAGCCATGGGTTTATGGAGTCATAAGGGCCCCGTGTCACCCAGAAAATGTGACTGATAAATCTCCCTGAAGAACCCATCAAGCCTAGCTGCTTAGTTACAGCCTCAAGTTTCAGGAGCTTATATTTGTCCAGAACTAAAGAATGCAGCAATCTTATGGGACTAGACACGTTTACCAAGCTTATAAGAAGCTAATGAATGGATCTGAATGCCAGTATTTAAATTCAACATGAGAAATGCAAAATCAACCTTTATCTATCCACAGAGAATCTGCATAGAAGGCCAATTCATCACCATATGGTTCTCATGTGACCATGAGCTCAGTGCAAATGGAGCTGGCTATGGGACCAGAACGTGTGACAAGCTGAATGAAGAGGGTCTGGTGGCTGCGTTCAAAGGAAGAGGGTCTTGTCACTTGCCAAGCTCTCTGACAGCCCAGACAGCAGTCCCCCAGGGGTGGTATATGTCCTCAATCAATTTAGCCTATTTGCTAAACATGGTTTTCTAGTTGCTGGGACTGGGGCTGGGCTGAGCCTAGCTATCTCCTCCCTCACCCCACACTGCCTCATTAATGATAGTGTGTCTTTAGACATGTCAGTATCACCCAATAGACTGTACCAAAGACCTTGCCCCACTTTTTACATATTTAAGACAACCTCACAAATAGTTGTGTGGTTAACCCCAACAAGTTACTTATCCACAGTAAGCTTGCATTTCTTCATTGGAGAAGCTTGTCAGAGCTGATGCAAGAATTAATCCACATGGCACAGTGCAGTACCCAGCTCACTGGTAGTAATTCTACGTAATACACTGACAGTATCAGGTGTCCCAAATCACCTCAGGGAGGGCTGGGCGCCAGCTGTCATGGCAGACCCTGAAAACATGAGGAACCACATCAGAGAGAAATTGAGTCCCTCGGGTACACTTCTGTGGCTGCAGGCAGAGCCAGAAATCCTGTGTGCTCTCCCTCCATACTCCCCACAACAGACACACACACACACACACACACACACACATTCATGTGACAACCTTTTCAATGTGTACACGTAACCAGCAGTATTCTTCCTCGACCTAACAAAACAAATTGATCAAGAGTCAATACAGGTCCTAATTACAGACTCTGCACTGGAAGATTGATGGCAGGAGATGAAGAGGGAAGAACAGGCCCTTGATGGGTGCCTATAATGAGGTGTCACTGGTCCCCACTGTAAGTCATTTATAAACATGGTCTCACGTCTGTGGCTGTCAGCATCCCCACCAGAGCTTAATGAGCTGCTCCTTCCTGCCCTGGGGTTAATGTCAGAAGCTGATCATGTTTTCTGCTGCAAGAGGCACTGGCTGCCTGATGGTTGGTGAATTTCATCTACAAATGTCCCCATTTACTCAGGAAATGCATTTTCCCAAAACTCCTGGCAGAGATATGCATTGATTTTCCCATCTGAGCTTCTCAACCCCGAGGAAGTGCCATTGTTGAATTCTCCACTTGCAGCCTCTTAGCTCAGGTGGGCTCAGGAGAAGAGTGTTGGCAACTCCTGGAGTCTTGAGTCCTTGAATAAAGCGATTAAGAAAGGAGACTTGTAGGCTCCGGGACACAGAGGCTTTCGAGAGATCTGATCATGGGTGCTTATTAAGACCCTACAGGACCTTGGGTGCTCTCAGCCCTGGGAGCAGGCCAGTCCAGCAACTACACAGACCAGACCAACGCAGAAGCGGAGGACATGACTCCAGGGCATTTGCCCACTTCCTCACCTCTATGAGGTCAAGGGAAACCTCCCCCTGTTACCTCCTGCCCCTTTAGACATAGCCTTGGGAGAGAAGCTGAGGGACAAATATTGTAAGAAAAAAAATCGGAGCAACTTAGTGTTTTACTAAAAATAGACTTAGCATGTAACTAGAGGGATGATTTCGTTGACTACCTTAAATTACATTTCTGGATTCAACTAAATTGTGAGGGTCCGCTGATGATTTATAAGGAAATAAAGAAACTGCACTTGCTTTGGAAAAAAAAAAAAAAAGGAAAAGGGAGTCCCAGGATCCCAGAAAAAAAAAAAAAAAGGAAAAGGGAGTCCCATAACTTTGCTATTTTCAAGTTATGTGGCCTAAGTCTCAGTTTCCTCATCTGTAAACTGGGAGCAAAAATAGTATTCTTAAAAAAAAAAAAAAAAAAAGGACTTTCCATTTGTAGAGGCACTAAATGCTGAGTTTTACTACAGTGGCAACACTAACCAACTGAAACAGATAAACATCCAGGGACTTGGAGTGACCTCAGGACACAAGATCCTTCCTAGACCTACCAGAAGCCTCTTGCTTGGCTAATATAAAATGAGACATTTTAATGTGTGCATCAACTGATTTATTTTGTCAATCCAGGATGCAAGCTTCAATTCTCAATTAGAATAATCACAATAAAACTCTCTTTCTTAGCATGCAAAATTCCCTGACATTTTCCCTTCGGGGAGCCACTCCATGTATTCCTCACCCTAGTGTCTTCCCTTGGCTGTTAAATAAGAAAATTCGGTGCTCACTCTTGCAATCGCTGCGATGGTCTTGTCCTCCTTCAGTAGTACCTCCTTTCTTAACAGTCCTCTCCCTGGCAGGTAGGATAATGCCCTCCCAAAGATGTCCAAACCTGAGTCCCTGGAACCTGTGAATATGTTAGGTTACATTGCAAAAGAAAAGGATGCAGATGGAATTAAGATTGCTAATCAGCTGACCTAGAGGTAAATAGATTACCCTGGATAATCCAGGTGGACACAACATAGTCAAAAGCATCTTCAAACAGAGACGAGAGAGACAGAAGAGAACCAGAGACATGGTAGCATGAAAAGGACTCAGGTGACACCACTGGCTTTGAAGGCAGAAGAGGAAATAATCCAAGAAATGCAGGCAGCCTTTAGAAGTGGGAAAAGGGCCAGGAAATGGATTCCCCCTAGAGTTTCCACAAAGGAAGACAGCAATGTCAACACCTTAAAATTCTAGCCCAGTGAGTTTCATGTCAGACTTCTGACCTCCAGACTGTAATGTAATCAGTCTGTGTTGCTTTAAGTCACCAAGTTTGTGGTGCTTTATGACAATAGCAATGGGAGACAAAAGTGAATACCTCTCTCATTGGGTTTCTTCTGAGGATTAAGTGAGTTCTTACAGATAAAGTACCTAGATTCATGCCCTGCAAATCATACAAATTTGCTTAACATTATTATAATTATAAATGCCGTCAACTTCTTTCTTATAGGGTTTCCTGCCTCCCTCCTCTTTGTGACCATTCCCATGATTTAACCCTGGCCGATAGTTATGAAGGACAAGAAGAACTACCCTTTATTGGCCACTTCCTGTGACTGGGCCATGTGCTGAGCTCTTCGCCCAATGCCAGACATGTGTCCTGTCGATTGGTATGTGTCTGGAATCTTCTTCTTTGGGAAACCAGAACAAGGCTGGGCCTGAGTGGTTGTAAAGTCCTCACAATCAAATCATCAGCTATTTGGGGCATCTAACAAGCACCATCAATTACCAGCACCCAACTCTTCTCCAAACACCAGCACGAGGCACTGCGTGGCTGACATTCTCTCAACAGTCATCGTCAAGGGAGCTGAGCTGCCCACAGAGTCCAACTGGGGGAGGCCTCTGTTTCATCTGGGTGCCGAGCTCTTGGTTTACCACTCACTCTGGGAAACAAACACCCCATGTTGTCCTTATCTGTCCAGTTTCTCATTTGACTGTGATCTCCTTAAGGACCAGGATAATGCCTATTTACCCCTCTGTCCCGGTGCCGAGCTCTGGCATGTTGGTCTCAGTGAGTCTTTGTTGCATCAAGGAGGAGTGAGATTACAAATCATTTTTATTTGTTCCTTTACAAAGCAGGAGCTCTCTACAGCAATGCTGCGATAAACAGGTTGGGCCTCTTCCGTCTCTCACTTGTCTCACTCTAGCTCAGCCCTGCCCACTGTAGTCAGATATTGTTTCTCCAGCAACCATTGCTGGAGCTTAAGGCAAATCTCGTTCAATTTTTTAATAATAAACAAATCAATTGTCCAACATCACTGTAAGATGATAAAATTGTCTTGTATATTGGTAAAGATAAAGCTAGGTTATGCTGTGATAACAAATTAATTCTGAAATTTTAGTGGCTTAACAGAGCAGATGTTTATTTATCATTCATGTTCCATGTCCACAGTGGCTCTGCAAGGGGACTCTGCTCCACACAGTCACTCAAGAAGCCAGGATGATAGAGGTTCCACTACCTTGTAGCTGTACCATCTGAAACATGTGACCTCCTCAGTCATCACAAAAGGGAAAGTGGGAACCAGAGAACTCACCCCTGATCTCTATACTTTGGCCCAGAAGTAACATGCTTTATTTCTGCACACAACTCATTAGCTGGAAATGATTGCATGTCTCACATAATTGCAGAGAAACTGGGAAATAGACTCTTCCTATATATCCATCAGGAGAAAGAAGAGAACCAACATTATCTACTTGAGGGATAGAATTCAAGTCCCTGCCTTAATGTAACTTATAGTCTAGAGCAGTGATTCCCAAATTTTAGGATATAGAAACATTAGCTAAGGGCTTTGTTTAAAAACACAAATTCTTTTTTACAGCTGCATAGTATTCCATGGTGTATATGTGCCACATTCTTTTATCCAGTCTATCACTGATGGGCATTTGGGTTGGTTCCAAGTCTTTGCTATTTTGAATAGTGCTGCAACATACATAAATATGCATGAGTCTTTATAGTAGAATGATTTATAATCTGATGAGTGCATGTCCTTTACAGGGGCATGGATGAAGCTAGAAACCATCATTCTCAGCAAACACAAGAACAGAAAACCAAACACCACATGTTCTCACTCATAAGTGAGAGTGGAACAATGAGAACACATGGACACAGGGAGGGGAGCATCACACACCTGGGTCTGTCGGGGGGCGGGGGTGGGAGGCTAGAGGAGGGAGAGCATAGGAGAAATACATAATGTAGATGACGAGTTGATGGGTGCAGCCAACCATCATAGCATATGTATATCTATGTAATAAACCTGCACTTTCTGCACATGTACCCCAGAACTTAAAGTATAATTTAAAAAATACAGATTCTTCACCCCTACCTCCACAGGCTCTGATTGGAAAAGACTTGGGAAAGCCTTGGCGTTTGTATGTTTTGCACATTCCCCAGGTGATGAAAGTGTTCTGTGGAGCACAGTCTGGAAGACAGTTCTCTAGTGACTGGATTTGGCCAGACAGGCCATTTCCACCCAACAACTTGGCCCCTACCAGTGCCATGCATATTCTGACCCCTGTGTGCTCTCTGAGGGCACACATCAGTCTCTCTAAAAAGCCGTGAGGTTTGATTTACTTCCTGAAAGCATACACCGGGATGGGCTGGCCTTACAAGGAAAGGCCAGGCTGCCAGCTGCAGCCATGTTGGGGTGCCCATTCCCACAGAGGTGTCCAATACCACGCTACACACATTTCTGCAAGTCAAGAAGGCTGTGGTCCTGGGCAGAGCAAATTCTGCAATACAAGCTTTTGCAAGTTGGAAAATAATTCAAAATTGAATAGATCTGAAAACACTAACTGGCCTTAAGGCTGGTTGGTGAGTACCACACTGACCCAGAGGAGCAGTAGCCTTATTTTTGTGTAACATATGAAGAAACATTTGACTTCTTTAGCAACTGATAGGAGGAAGGTACTGTCTGTGCCAAAGAGTGGCTCTGATGAGCACCTTGGGGACTGAAGTAAACAGGAGTCCAAAGATCATGCAAAAGACAGAAATTATTATGAATTATTTTTAAAAGAGGAGGAGAGAAAAGAGCAGCACAGCTTAGAAATGTCTCAGGGATGGGTGCCTGGGAAAAGAATCCTTGAAGGCTAAAGTGTTTATTTGGTGTTTTGCTACATGGTATGCAGTAAAACCATCTCTTGGGCCTAATCTTCAGGAAAATCCCTATTGCTCACTAATGCTTGGCAGAGTGAATTTCTTTGCAGGAGGGCCGAGTCCTTTGTCAAAAGTGTAAAGCAAAGGGCAGTGAGCGATTCTCCATGCTCCATTCTGGGTCAATCTGCAACTTAGAGGTTCTGGGCCTTTCAAATGATCTCTGAAGAACTGCTGGACCTGGATGAACAGAGGAAAGGGCAATAATAGCTGGACAAAGCCATGGAGCAGTACTAGTGCCTGGCGGCAGTACAAGTTACAGTGATCGCCAGCAGAGGACTATGCCTATGAGGCTTGATGCTAAATGCAGGAGACATAGCATTGGGAAGCTCCCCAGATACTTAGGGCAGGGTGAATTTACTCAATAGGGCTTGAAAGCTAGGGCTTAAGAAGGGAGGAACTAGAATCAAAGGTAATTTCAATTATGCCACTAATCTAAACAGCTGGTCAAAAGAGTAAATGTTGTAGCAATAATAGCAATAACAATAATAATAATTAATAATAGTAAATAGGCTGGGCATGGTGGCTCATGCCTATAATCCTAGCACTTTGAGAAGCCGAGGTAGGTGGATTACTTGAGGCCAGGAGTTCAAAACCACCCTGGTCAACATGGTGAAACCCCATCTCTACTAAGAATACAAAAATTAGCGGGGCCTGGTGGTACACGCCTGTAATCCCAGCTACCCAGGAGGCTGAGGCTGAAGAATCACTTGACCCCGAGAGGCAAAGGCTGCAGTGAGGTGAGATCATGCCAGTGCATCCAGCCTCGGCAACAGAACCAGATTCCATCTCAAAAAAATAAAAAATAAAATAAAATAATAATAGTAAATAACAGTCATATAGGACTACTATATGCAAGTCTTGTTCTAATCACTTTACAAATATTAATTTATCTAGCCCCACAATTTATAAAGTAGGTATATTATTGCCCCTATTATATGAGAACATTGAGCCCAGAAAGAGGGAGTTGCTGAAGGTTACCCAGCCTGCAACGGCAGAGCCATGATGGAAACCTAGACAGTGTGCCTCCAAGGTCTATGTTCTGAACTGTCTCCCTTTAATATATGTAAAAGTGCTTTATTAAATAAATGTTAAGGGGCTGGCCAATGTAATTTATCTCTAGGCTCCTGGATGTCTAGACAAGAGATATTAAAAGAAGGTAAAAACCAACCCAAAACTGAGGAGTTTCTAACAGGTAGAGAAAATTGCAACTTAAAAATATTCCCTGTGACCTCCCCAGGTGGCAGAAATATTCACCATACTGAGCATCTCAGCCCTGTTTCACAATAACAATTGCTACTCCAGGCAATTCTCTTTGTCAGATCAAAGAGATCAATCAATCATTAGAGATTGTTATGAACCAGATCAAGCATAGTTTATATCCAGGAAGTTACAGAGCTGGAGAGAGAACCCAAAAATGGGAGCATCGAGGGCAGGAGTGGATTGGACTTACTCAGCACCGGGAATCTATGGACAACAGTCTTGGTTAAAAAGGGAAAGCTGGCCCAGACCAACAGACGTCACAGAAAGATGTGAACACAGCTAAGGGTTAAGTACTAAAAGCTAGGAGCCCTATGTGAGCACATCCAGAAACACAAGAACCAGCCCCAAAAGGCTGACCAAATCTGTGGAGTCCCATCAGCCAAAAACCCTTTAGTCCCAGACATAAAGCCTTTGTCCAGCATCTGGAACATGGTACTGAAAATTCCTCCTCCAGGTGACTCCGGGCCCAAAGATCAGAGCAGCTTAGGCTTTGCCTGCACCACAGCCAAACGCCCCTTGAAGGCACATGGTGTGTTTCTAAAGCTCTGCCAGGCAAAGGAGACACCCCTGCAGCATGTGAGAAAGGCGTTTCTGATGTCTGTGTCTACATTTAGTCTTTGTTGATGTATTTGTGTCAGATCTTGATCATCACACTTTCCATAATTTAGGCTGTTTTCCGTCCAAACACACTAAATACATGTTATTGCTAAGAAACTGAGCTCTCGATTTACACTGTTTTGCACTCATTTCTTAAAATATCTCGGTGGCATCTCATGGTGAACAACAAAGCTATCCCTGATGGAATTCCTGTGTGTATGGGAAAGCATATAGGCCTTCCTAGGAGCACCTTTAGAGAGGGTTAGTCCTTCACAGTTATCTCACAGACAGACATCTCTCTATCATGATCAACATATGTCAGGAACCCCAGACGAAACCAATAGGAGACTTTGTTCAACTTTAAACAAGTCCAGATAAGCAGAACCCAAGCTAGCCCACCCTGACTGAAAAAGACTCTAGCAATCTAAGCCCCTCATCCCCACTGTGTGGCTCCTCCACTAAATAATGGAGGCTGAACCTGCTCAGATAGTCTGTTCCTCCTGTCTCCATGGCTAGGTTTCAAGGCAGCTCTTGTGGCATCTTCCCCTTTAAGAATGAAGCACTATGCACTAATTATCAAGAAAATGGTACTTATAACCACAGGGATATATCACACCTGTTAGAATGGCTACTAGCAACAAAACAAGACATTTTTTAAAATGTTGGTGAGGTTGGTGAGATTTTAAAAAATGTTGGTTGGAAAAAAAGATACTTCTGCACACTGTTGGTGAGAATGTAAATTAACATAACAATTGTGGAAAACAGTATGGGGGGGGTCCTAAAAAAAACTAGAAGTGGAATTACCATATGATCAAGCAATCGCACTACTGGATATACATCCAAAGGAAATGAAATCAGTACATCAAAGAGATATCTGCACTTCCATGTTTATTACAGCACTCTTTACAATAGTGAAGATATGAAATCAACCTGTGTCCATCAATTAATAAATGGATAGAGAACCTGTGCCCATCAATGACTAAACAGTGTGTGTATATACATAATAGAATATTGTTGGAATATATGGAAAATACATTGGAATATATGTGTGTGTGTGTGTATATATATGTGTACAATACAATATTGTTGGAATATATGGAATATACTTTAGAATAGATGCATATATACATAATGGAATACTGTTGAGTCTTAAAAAAGGATATCTCATCATTTGAAACAACGTAGATGAACCTAAAGGACATTATGTTAAGTAAAGTAAGCCAGGCACAGAAAGATGAATACTGCATGAC